TATATCACATATTATAATTGCGAATTCCAAATCATACATTAATAGCCATTCAAACTGGAGTTGAGGAATGCTTCCGTGCAGATCAAATACAGGGAGTTCGATGTCACCGGTCCATGCGGGTCCATTACATCCCAGTACTAGCATACACAAAATCAATATTACGGGTCACTCGATGAATTAAAACCAGAATCTAGTGTACGTAAATTTGGTGTGTTCGCTTGCAATTGTCGGTTAGAGATTTAAAGAAGCTACAAGACGAAAGATGAGTTTAGATGAGCCTTCTTATCCAGGGCCAGATTGATATCTCGCAGAAGGAGGCAATAGCCTGTGCAAACGCCTAAAAGTTTTTGGAGATATCGGCAAAAGCGAGATCTCCAATCGAGCAAGTGATATTACTCAGTAGATCAACAGTCCGTATGATCATCAGATTGGTCGTATATTCGTTTGCCCAAAGGATAAACAAAAAAAAAACTTCCACTTCAAGTTCTTTATCCCTTAAGGCTCAACATTTTTCTATCACAAATCACATTGCCAATACATATATAAGTAGTAATGCTCCAGAAAATTAACTAACAAAATCTTCAAGTCTTCCAAGGCTATAGTAAGTCCTTTGACGGGGTAATATTGAAAGATTCTAGAATGTCTATAGTCAATATTAAGGTTTTGGCGATTCGTTTTTTTTTCAAATCGTACTGGATATACATTGCGCGTGCCATTGTATTTTCGAATATAAAATTCAGCACACCACATTCAATGCAAATCACACGTCATGACCACGTCATTAATATCGTAGATGCCATATCAATTGCATTGGATAAATTGCCAACCCTAACTTATGAGCTTGTATAGAAAATTATTTGCAGTGGAAACAGAAGCAAACCCTATTGCACAAGAAGGAATTACAAATTTATGGACATCACAGATACGAGAAATATGAACAGTTTTAAATCCAATCGCACAGTTTACTACTTGTAAAACTGTTAAAACAGAACAGCGTTGAATTCGAGTATTGCAGTTTCGATATTCGACTTTCGGCACGTTTCGATCATAAATACGCTCAGATTTAGGAGGCTTTGGAACTCTCGAGAAATCTAATAATAAATGTTAATAAAACGCGTAAGTGAATTACACGTATAGAACGTAGCTGGAAGTACTAAACATTCTAACCGCGTTAGTATTCGAACTATTTGTTACTTTAAGTGAAAATCCATTCATTGTAGTTTGCCTAGTTAATTGGTGGATTCAAAATTTGAATAGATTGCATCAAGAGTCTAGTATCTTTGTTCAATTTTCATTTTTCATCCATTCTGTTCTTGTCATAGTTATATTTTCGTTCAATACATTTTCATAGATAGTAAACTCATCAAATAAACAATAATATTAATTTGACATTATAATTAAAATACCTAAAATAAAATAAAATTGGATATTTACCTGATTTTGATCTTTTAGTATTTGAGAATCTAAATCTTAGTCCAAAACTCTATAATAATATAATACAAATCATAGAACCAAAAACGGATGAAGTAAAACGAACACCAAAAGAAGAAGCAGAAACTCCCTCCCTATGGGACGTTGCATTGGAGATTTAAACCAAGGATGATTGGCGTCAAGAATTCGGTTGGTCGTAAAACTCATGCTGAATCCCAATGCAGCATGACAAGATAGCTGATGCGCCGACCCCATGAAATGTAGGATAAGGGCAAAAGTAAGAAGAAAAAGTACTTATGTGTTCTTGTCTCTGTTTTTCCGCCCATAGCACTGTGACGAACCTTGAGATATGCCAATAGTGGACGTCTATATGCAGATAATGATAATATAAAATTAAACGCGCATTAGACGTCAAAGTGGTCAAACTCTGTGCAAAATACTATTCGTATTTTTTGTAACGATTTAAATGCACATATGTATATACTTATTCTACACTATTTACATGATTAGTTACCAATATTAATTTATAACCAAACTGTTTCAGCTCAAGAAATATTTTCTCTAAGACTTAAAACAATTCGACCGGTACAATTGGTAACCTAACATATAGGGGAGCTCACAGGGCTCAAACCGAAGTGGTGCTAACACAGGCTCTAGCAAGAGCAGTGCTTCGCAGAATCTATCACCGGATCGGAAAAGCGACCCACTGAGAAGATCTGGTATGCCCATAACACATTTAACACACAATGAGCTATAAAAAAGAATCCATATACTTACTATAGTTACGACACAAACTTCGATTGTAATGAAAATATTTAAAAAAGTTTTTACGCACGCAAGATTCCTTACCATGCGCACAAATAAGCCATTAATATATGCAATCATAGCATCTTTGTCCACCAAAATACCATTGGGTTCTGATGTCGTTTCCAGCTGACTCAGCGCAATTGGATTACACAAGTAGGTTTAACTTAGAATTCTCATCACGAAAGCCTCCATAGTAATTGGAATTCTCGGAGAGATTGCGATCTCAGGAACCGAGATCGGTGTCAGATAAATCACGTGTTTAGATGAGTTTCAGATCGTAATTTTGAGCTTTTATGAGTTTAAATGAGTTCCACTTGTCGAGCTCGTTTTCATGTTAGGGTTGAGATTTCCACGATTTTTATTAATACATTGTTTTTGTTTGGGTTTCGCGATCTAAAGTCAATTCAAATTCAGTTATATTATATACAAAAATAAATAAATAATGAAATGGAGTTTAAGTTTGAGGTTGAGGCCTATTCGCCGATATTTGTATTTTTATTTCCTAGGTTGTGCGTTCGAGATTTATCTAAATACTGGGAACTGGGAATAGTGGACGTATAGCACCATCTCACATGTCACACCGTACGGACTAACAATTAGCCCAACCACAAATTATTTGTCATTATCCAACAACTAGGCATATAGAAAATTTCAAAAGGTGATTTGGGTCATCCTCATGCATCACATAATCTTTTGTTTTTTTGGTAATTGGTTCAAAAAAATATTCTATGACGACAGCTTTATTATTATTATATATTAATTAATATATATTATTATATATTATATATTAATTAAATTATTGTATAAAGTAAATTTAAGTTATAACAGGTCTTTATTGCATTACTGTACGCTAGTTGCCCAGCTGTATACATTTAAATACTTGTACCATCTAACAGTGTTTTCATTATGTATCCTTTATTATTGACGTCACAATCGCAATAGCAACATCTATAGATGTGGCCCAAAAAGTAGTATAAAAACAGTGTGAAGAATCGATCCAGAGTATTCCAGTAGAGTGTCGGTTACTGACCTTATTTTTATTAAATTTAAATAAAACGCAACAGAATGTGTTTACCTCTTTATTTTATTATTCAAAGATAAATACAAACAAATGTTCTTCAATAACACAAGAATACAGAAACTATGAAAGCTGCTAAGATTCACCTAATTATATTTATGTGAATTTATAGTCTAAGATTGTCAGAAAGTGTGTCTATTATTATACTGACGGGAAAATAAATGACTCTAGTATAACAATTAACTTTTTTATTCCTTAGATGAGAAGACGAGCTCACGACCTTCTTGGTGTTAAGTGGTTACCGGAGCCCGTAGAAATCTACAACGTAAATGCCGCCACCCACTTTGAGATATGAGTTTTAATGTTACTCACTTTTAGTTACAGTCCAATGGCTGCCCTGCCTTTCGAACCGAAACGCATTACTGCTTCATGGCAGAAGTAGGCAGGGTAATAGTAACTACCCCTGTGGACTCACAAGGCGTCCTACCACCAGTAAAAAGCTGATTGTGATGCACGAAGTCTATGAACAGCTCGGAGAGTTGTTAGTATTGGAATCGCAAATTCGTTTCCTAAGCGGAATGGGCTTAGGATACAAATTGTTTTACATTAAAACTATACGATTCAAGGTTTGATCTTGGTTCGTATAAAAATAAACAATAACAAATAAAAATCCTGGAATAATTAAAATATTTAACAATTTTTCCTAGTAATTAAATTATAATAAACTATTAACGCCATGGTTATCCCTTCAAAGAAACTAACATAATTATTGTTTCAAAATAATTCACAAAGTAGCATTAAAAATATTTTATAACTATAATATATATAATTCTGTCGTAAAGGATCCTCCATCAAAGATGTATTTACACTAATTTAGGCCTGTTTTATATTAATTCAAAAATAATATTCATGGGCCATCAGAATATTTGTCTAATAAAAAGGGGGCTTTTATTAAATTTCGACAACATAGTTTATGTGACTGTAAAATGTTGTCTAATAACTTTTAAGTTTGTTCATAAATAAACTTCATAATATTATTCTCTAATGTAGATAATGTCGAATGAATACGAAGCATATTATATACAAAGCATTTTTTAATTGATATTGACGCCGACCGACTTCTTTTTAGTACATACATATACATATTTTCATTACACTATACGGATGAGTAGACGGTTTTAAATGACCATCTTGAGGCATTATGTCTAATCTCAATAATGCCTGTATATAATAATATTATAGTAACTCTGAAAATTAAATACACTCAAATAAACGCATTGACTCAAGTCTTTCACCGCTATTCCATAAATGTATCTATTTTTACATAATATATTAGCATTAAATTTTAAATAATTTCACTTACAATCTATGTACCTATTTCTAGAGTACTTTCGTCTTCTTTCTCCAATTATGTCAGAGTCTATATACAATAACACTTAATTAAAACATTAAGCATTTAAGGACGAACGAAATGATTTTTTTCGGAACTATACAATGAATTTTAATTAATGAGGCGTCTATTAATTAATTAATGTACAAAATTGACATGTGCTCGAAATATCTTTTGAATGGCACGTTGAAATAAAAAGTAAAAAATTATAACATACAGTAGTATACAATAATGTTAAACATTAGCTTATAGTGTTTTTATTGTTTCATTTTTAAAATACGGTTCTGTAATGATTCTAATATTGAACTACAAATATCAAATGAAATTGTAAGCTGCTGAATCAAACTATTGAAACGTGTGACATTTTTGATAATGAAAACAAAATAATTACTTAATTTATCGAAGCTTAATAATAACTTGACGAATACAATTCCAGTACATGGGAATATAATCGATAGACATTCCTATTTATGTTGTCTGTGTATCCAGAAAACGAACATGCTAGTCGCCGTGTGTGACGTAAGGTGTCAATACCCCTGAAACTTGGCTCGAGCATTGCTTCTGGGCTTGTCCGGCTTTTGGCACCAGCACTAACTGTTCTAAATCGCCCTGCCATTAAAATATAATATTATGTTAGTATCGGGTTCGGCGCGGGCTTAAGTGCTTGATACTGAGGCGACGTAATGTATGAATGGACTCAACGACTAGTGGTAGCTTAGTAGCTAGCGGCTTAGTAAGAGACAGAGTATATCGATCACAAATTAGAACATATGACGTGGACTACGTAGTGATGACGTGGATATGATGACGTCACGTCATTTTGACTTCAGATGTCTTGCAATAATTTTTTTTAAAAAACAGCCGACCTGGCCATCTTCATAATCGTGGACATGGTATCAAAGTCTTAAGGTACTGTTACTGAAATACTTACGGTCCTATCCGCCAAACTTATTGGTACTTCGCGGCTTAAAAGAGCGGATTAGTGGTACCTACCCTAGTGTACTCATTATGTACTCAATATATGAGCTAGTATTAGGTACAAATTTAATAATATGCGCTCTTAAATGATTGACAAACAGTCATTAGTACCTGTAATCAGTCGTATCACTCGAAATGAGTATACCAGGCGTCTCAAGCATTAGGGACAAGAAGTTTAAAAAAAACATGAAAACTTAAATATTAATTCTTTGTGGGCCCCAGTAACTCTGCCACGTTCCATTAAAGCAATAGTGAAAAACAATTAAAAACATTTCACGAACGTAAACAAGAATGAAATGCCTAAAGTACACAAATATACAGTAAATGAAAGCAGAAAGAACATAATATGTAAAAGCAAATTAAACGCTCGTCCTATGTAAATATTTGGTGAGTCCTTAAGCGAGCCACTTCGGCTCATTTTTAAATACACACGAAATGTATTTCAAAGCTAAATGCTAGTCAAATGTTTATATACGTTGGTGAAAAAAAAAAAAACACCTCTGATTTTTCGCATTTCGAATCATGCTATCGATCATTATCGCCGTCAAATTTGATTGAATCTTACATCAACTATAACGCTTTTGATATATCGAACACCAAATAACGATTCTATTCAGCTAATACTAACTCGGATGCTGAAGCAACACAAATCGATATTCGGTGCACACTTACAAAACTCGATCACGTCCAAACCTCTTCGCCCTTTATAAAACCGGTTACTAAAATAAGAAAACTTGCCAAGGGAAAGTGTTAAGTAAACAACTTACCGAGAACAGATAACCGATAATAAGGTCGGCGTCCCTTGGCGTGTCAAGAGCGTCCTTCTCAAGGACATCGGTCCTCAACCAACGGCAGTCCACGAAAGCACGTACTGTGTTGTCATCGTGCACACTAAAAGAATAACGGAGTTCACATAAATAACGTAAATAAATAATGTTAAATAGATTTCGGAGCTTTTCATTATTTGCTTTTAGATACATTTTTTATGAAAGTTTTTTTTCCCCGTGTAGGCAGACGAGCATACGGCCCACCTGATGGTGAGTGGTTATAGTCGCTCATGGACGTCAGCAATGCCAGGGGCAGAGCCAAGCTTCTGCCTACCGCCAAAAAGTGTTTTTATTTTGTATCTTCAATCGTTATTGATTTTTTTTATATTCGCATCAAGCCAATAGGAATCAGTTTTGTAATTATTAACACCAATTTATACTTCTGAAGTATAAATTGGTGTCTGAGTCTTACTGAAGTATACATAAAAAAGATGTTCGCTTAATAGAAAGAATCACCTAAAATAATTCTCAGGTATAATTAACGTATAGGGTAAGGTTTGAGATATAATACTCGGTTGTTATTCTATAATATTATTGCTTGCGAGGCAAAAATTGGGACATCACACTGGCCATACCGCGATCTCTCGCAATCATCATTTCTTGATATTTAATTTTATTCTATGATAAAATATATTCAGTCTAGACTCGTGTATTTTATTTATGTTTTCTCCATTACTTTTCCATAACAAATAATTCTTACGTCTTTAATTAAATATCTAATTACGGGAAATGAAAATTTGAACTGAAATTTTAAATATCTAATTACGTCATGCTCTTCACGATTCTTTCAAAAGATTGAGACTGTAAATAATTAATTGAAAACGAATTAAGGAAAAGTTCGAATTAGAAAATTTTATACATTATCCATCGTATCTTTCACTTTCCTAATTAACGTTGTTATTCTTATACAACGGTTCGTTTGCTTAATTCTTTACAAGTTATTAAAAAGGTGAGATAATTAAAAGTCCGATGCAGCTATAACATTAATGGAGCTTTAGTATTGTGCAGCAAAAAAACTTTCCCTCGCTTTTATGATTAAAATATATGCAGAGCTTTCATATAGGGTTGAAGCAGGCAAAGCGATCCCGCGTCCATTTTCCGGACCGTGTCGCGATTATCCACTTCTTATCTTAATTTGTTGACTGATGACCGAATCTAAGAATGACGCTTCAGTGTATTGCGTGCATTTTTTATTGCAAAAAACAGCCATTTCACCAAATGGCCTAACAGGGCTTAAAGAATCCATACAATGGGAATGTCCTCACCCACTTTAAGATATGATATTCAAGTTCCAATAGTATTGTATTAGTCGCTGTCCTATATATTGGAACGCATAGCAGCTATACGGAAAAATAGGTGGGAAGGTGCTCAATTATAACTTTTATTTGTCGACGCATATACTCATGGCTCATTTAGTTTCAAGCTCTTACCGAAGCCTGTGGACATCAAAACGTTATGCTACCACCCACCTTCAGTCCTAAATTCTAACTCTTTTATTATAGGTAGGGGCTATACCAAGACAACAGAAATAAGCAGTGGTAGTACCTACGCGTGCGGGCTCAAAAAACGTACTAAGCACAGCTGACTTTTTTATGCAATTAAGGCATGTTTCTAGACAATATATCGTTTACCTGATTGCTATGTGATGCCAACGGAAGTCGTACAGTGGTACTGCTAAGTAAATAGACCTTGAGGCTCCAGCTCCAGCATGGACCAGTCTAGCTGCACCTCGGCCCGCTAGTTCCAGTGAAAGAAACGAACCAGTGCGGCGTCTTGATCGGAGCGAAAACAGCGTTCCTTGCCCGTATCCACCACTCTATTAGGAGATAACAGTAATACTAATACAATGTACTGCCTAATCTAAGGTACTCTTATTGTGACGTAAAGCAATAAGATAAGCTAGACGTCAATATATTATAATATACCTAGTCAGGTCATAAATTCTGTCACATGTTTAATGTAAAATAATTGAAACAAGTTTATTCATTATGTAACCATTCATATACCAAAATGAACTTAACAAAACATAGATTCTTATGACACTAAAATTTATTCAAAATGACCTCCGTGATTTTGAATACAGGCCTTCAATCTGCGCGGCCAGTCGTCTATCGCAGCACGNTCCGTGTCAGACAGTCATTCCGTCCGTCTCAGTCAGTCGGTCTGTCGGTATGTGCAACGAAACTGTCGGTTTATCCTGTCATTGTGAAAGTTGTGTGTGTTGAGTTTTAATAATTGTTATTCAAAAAGTTTTATTAACTAAACTGAGTTCAATCGAATACGAGTAATGACGGAACCTACCGCTCAGCCATCCCTGACGTGTGCTGACATACTTATTATACTTACGACACAAGCTTCGATTGTAATGAAAATAATTAAAACTGTTTTTAAGCACGCAAAATTCCTTCCCATGCGCTGAAATAAGCCATTAATATATGCAATCATAGCATCTTTGTCCACCAAAATACCATCGGGTTCTGATGTCGTTTCCAGCTGACTCAGCGCAATTGGATTACACAAGTAGGTTTAACTTAGAATTCTCATCACGAAAGCCTCCATAGTAATTGGAATTCTCGGAGAGATTGCGATCTCAGGAACCGAGATCGGTGTCAGATAAATCACGTGTTTAGATGAGTTTCAGATCGTAATTTTGAGCTTTTATGAGTTTAAATGAGTTCCACTTGTCGAGCTCGTTTTCATGTTAGGGTTGAGATTTCCACGATTTTTATTAATACATTATTTTTGTTTGGGTTTCGCGATCTAAAATCAACTCCAATTCAGTTATATTATATACAAAAATAAATAAATAATGAAATGGAGTTTAAAGGTTGAGGCCTATTCGCCGATATTTGTATTTTTATTTCCTTGGTTGTGCGTTCGAGAGTTATCTAAGTACTGGGGACTGGGGATAGTGGACGGATAGCACCATCCCACATGTCAGACCGTACGGACTAACAATTAGCCCAACCACCAATTATTTGTCATTATCCAACAACTAGGCATATAGAAAATTTCAAAAGGCGATTTGGGTCATGCTCATGCATCACATAATCTTTTGTCTTTTTGGTAATTGGTTCAAAAAATGATTCTATGACGACAACTTTATATTAAATTATTGAATAAAGTAAATTTAAGTTATAACAGGTCTTTATTACATTACTGTACGCCAGTTGCCCAGTTGTATACATTTAAATACTTGTACCGTCTAACGGTGTTTTTATTATGTGTATTAATCCTTTATTATTGACGTCACAATCGCAGTAGCAACATCTATATAGATGTGGCCCAAAAAGTAGTATAAAAACAGTGTGAAGAATTGATCTAGAGTATTCCAGTAGAGTGTCGGTTAATGACCTTATTTTTATTAAATTTAAATAAAACGCAACAGAATGTGTTTACCTCTTTATTTTATTATTCAAAGATAAATACAAACAAATGTTCTTCAATAACACAAGAATACAGAAACTATGAAAGCTGCTAAGATTCACCTAATTATATTTATGTGAATTTATAGTCTAAGATTGTCAGAAAGTGTGTCTATTATTATACTGACGGGAAAATAAATGACTCTAGGATAACAATTAACTTGTTTATTCCTTAGATGAGAGGACGAGCTCACGGCCCACCTGGTGTTAAGTGGTTACCGGAGCCCGTAGAAATCTACAACGTAAATGCCGCCACTCACTTTGAGATATGAGTTTTAATGTCTCACTTTTAGTTACAGTCCAATGGCTGCCTTTCGAACCGAAATGCATTACTGCTTCATGGCAGAAGTAGGCAGGGTAATAGTAACTACCCCTGTGGACTCACAAGGCGTCCTACCACCAGTAAAAAGCTGATTGTGATGCACGAAGTCTATGAACAGCTCGGAGAGTTGTTAGTATTGGAATCGCAAATTCGTTTCCTAAGCGGAATGGGCTTAGGATACAAATTGTTTTACATTAAAACTATACGATTCAAGGTTTGATCTTGGTTCGTATAAAAATAAACAATAACAAATAAAAATCCTGGAATAATTAAAATATTTAACAATTTTTCCTAGTAATTAAATTATAATAAACTATTAACGCCATGGTTATCCCTTCAAAGAAACTAACATAATTATTGTTTCAAAATAATTCATTAAGTAGGATTAAAAATATTTTATAACTACAATACATATAATTCTGTCGTCCACGATCCTCCATCAAAGATGTATTTACACTAATTTAGGCCTGTTTTATATTAATTCAAAAATAATATTCATGGGCCATCAGAATATTTGTCTAATAAAAAGGGGGCTTTTATTAAATTTCGACAACACAGTTTATGTGACTGTAAAATGTTGTCTAATAACTTTTAAGTTTGTTCATAAATAAACTTCATAATATTATTCTCTAATGTAGATAATGTCGAATGAATACGAAGCATATTATATACAAAGCATTTTTTAATTGATATTGACGCCGACCGACTTCTTTTTAGTACATACATATACATATTTTCATTACACTATACGGATGAGTAGACGGTTTTAAATGACCATCTTGAGGCGTTAGGTCTAATCTCAATAACGCCCGTATATAATAATATTATATTATAGTAAATCTGAAAATTAAATACACTCAAATAAACGCATTGACTCAAGTCTTTCACCGTTATTCCATAAATGTATCTATTTTTACATATATTAGCATTAAATTTTAAATAATTTCACTTACAATCTATGTACCTATTTCTAGAGTACTTTCGTCTTCTTTCTCCAATTATGTCAGAGTCTATATACAATAACACTTAATTAAAACATTAAGCATTTAAGGACGAACGAAATGATTTTTTTCGGAACTATACAATGAATTTTAATTAATGAGGCGTCTATTAATTAATTAATGTACAAAATTGACATGTGCTCGAAATATCTTTTGAATGGCACGTTGAAATAAAAAGTAAAAAATTATAACATACAGTAGTATACAATAATGTTAAACATTAGCTTATAGTGTTTGTATTGTTTCATTTTTAAAATACGGTTTTGTAATGATTCTAATATTGAACTACAAATATCAAATGAAATTGTAAGCTGCTGAATCAAACTATTGAAACGTGTGACTTTTTGATAATGAAAACAAAATAATTACTTAATTTATCGAAGCTTAATAATAACTTGACGAATACAATTCCAGTACATGGGAATATAATCGATAGACATTCCTATTTATGTTGTCGGTGTATCCAGAAAACGAACATGCTAGTCGCCGTGTGTGACGTAAGGTGTCAATACCCCTGAAACTTGGCTCGAGCATTGCTTCTGGGCTTGTCCGGCTTTTGGCACCAGCACTAACTGTTCTAAATCGCCCTGCCATTAAAATATAATATTATGTTAGTATCGGATTCGGCGCGGGCTTAAGTGCTTGATACTGAGGTGACGTAATGTATGAATGGACTCAACGACTAGTGGTAGCTTAGTAGCTAGCAGCTTAGTAAGAGACAGAGTATGTCGATCACAAATTAGAACATATGACGTGGACTACGTAGTGATGAAATGGATATGATGACGTCACGTCATTTTGACTTCAGATGTCTTGCAATTTTTTTTTTATAAAACGGCAGACTGGACCATCTGACATGAACGTAAACATGGGATCAAAGTCTTAAGATACTGTTTCTGGAATACCTACGGTTCTATCCGCCAAACTCAGTCCTTCGCGGCTTAAAAGAGCGGGATAGTGGTACCTACTCTAATAATTATTATACAATAAATTAATTCATGAGGTACAAATTTAATATGCACTCTTAAATTATTGATAAACAGATATTAGTACCTGTAATCAGTCGTATCACTCGAAATGAGTATACCAGGTGTTTCAAGCATTAGGGACAAGAAGTTTTAAAAGAACATGAAATCTTAAAGATTAATTCTTTGTGGGTCCCAGTAACTCTGCCACGTTCCATTAAAGCAATAGTGAAAAACAATTAAAAACATTTCACGAACGTAAACAAGAATGAAATGCCTAAAGTACACAAATATACAGTAAATGAAAGCAGAAAGAACATAATATGTAAAAGCAAATTAAACGCTCGTCCTATGTAAATATTTGGTGAGTCCTTAAGCGAGCCACTTCGGCTCATTTTTAAATACACACGAAATGTATTTCAAAGCTAAATGCTAGTCAAATGTTTATATTCGTTGGTGAAAAAAAAAACTCTGATTTTTCGTATTTCGAATCATGCTATCGATCATTATCGCCGTCAAATCTGATTGAATCTTACGTCAACTATAAATAACGCTTTTGATTTATCGAACACAAAATGACGACACTATTCAGCTAATACTAACTCGGATGCTAAAGCAACACAAATCGATATTCGGTGCACACTTACAAAACGCGATCACGTCCAAACCTCTTCGCCCCTTATAAAACCGGTTACTAAAATAAGAAAACTTGCCAAGGGAAAGTGTTAAGTAAACAACTTACCGAGAACAGATAACCGATAATAAGGTCGGCGTCCCTTGGCGTGTCAAGAGCGTCCTTCTCAAGGACATCGGTCCTCAACCAACGGCAGTCCACGAAAGCACGTACTGTGTTGTCATCGTGCACACTAAAAGAATAACGGAGTTCACTTAAATAACGTAAATAAGTAATGTTAAATATATTGGGGAGCTTTTCATTATTTGCTTTTAGATAAAAAATTATGAAAGTTTTTTTCCCCATGTAGGCAGACGAGCATACCGCCCATCTGATGGTGAGTGGTTATAGTCGCTCATGGACGTCAGCAATGCCAGGGGCAGAGCCAAGCTTCTGCCTACCGCCAAAAAGTGTTTTTATTTTGTATCTTCAATCGTTATTGAATTTTTTTTCTAGTATTCGCCTCAAACCAATAGGAATTAGTTTTGTAATTATTAAAACCTATTTATAGTATTAGTGAAGTATACATAAAAAAGATGTTCGCTTAATAGAATCACCTAAAACAATTCTCAGGTATGGATATTTAACGTATAGGGTAAAGTTTGAGATATAATATTCGGTTGTTATCCTATAATATTATTGCTTGCGAGAGATCGCGGTATGGCCAGTGTGATGTCCCAATTTTTGTCTTTCATCATTTCTTGATATTTAATTTTATTCTAAAATAAAATATATTCAGTTTAGACTATCGTGTGTTTTATTTATGTTTTCTCCATTACTTTTCCATCATAAATAATTCTTACGTCTTTAATTAAATATCTAATTACGTGAAATGAAAATTTCAACAGAAAATTTTAATATGTAATTAGTCACGATTCTTTCAAAAGATTGAGACTGTAATTAATAATTAATTGAAAACGAATTAAGGAAGCTTACAAAAATTTTGTACACATTATCCATCGTATCTTTCACTCTCCTAATTAAAGTTTTTATTCTTATACAACGGTTCGTTTTCTTAATGCTTTACAAGTTATTAAAAAGGTGAGATAATTAAAAGTCCGATGCAGCTATAACATTTAAAGGAAGCTTTAGTATTGTGCAGCAAAATTTTTTCCATCGCTTGGATTATTAAATATGCAGAGCTTTCATATAGGGTTGAAGCAGGCAAAGTGATCCCGCGTCCATTTTCCGGACCGTGTCGCGATTATCCACTTCTTATTTTAATTGGTTGACATATGACCGGATCTAAAACTGACGCTTCAGCGTATTGCTTGCGTTTTTTATTGCAATAAACAGCCATTTCATCAAATGGCCTAACTGGGCTTAAAGAATCCATACAATGGGAATGTCCGCACCCTTTTAAGATATGATATTCAAGTTCCAATAGTATTGTATTAGCGGCTGTCCTACATATTGGAACGCTTAACAGCTCTACGGGAAAAATAGGTAGGAAGATGCTCAATTATAACTTCTATTTGTCGACGCATGTACTCACCACTCATTTGATGCCAAACTCTTACTCACCTTCAGTCCTAAGTTCTAGCTCTCATAATATAGGGGCTATACCAACACAACAGAAATAAGCAGTGGTAGTACCTACGCGTGCGGGCTCAAAAAACGTACTAAGCACAGCTGATTTTTTTTTTATGCAACTACATCATGTTTCTAGACGAAATATCCTTTACCTGATTGCTATCTGATGCCAACGGAAGTCGTACAGTGGTACTGCTAAGTAAATAGACCGTGAGGTTCCAGCTCCAGCATGGACCAGTCTAGCTGCACCCCGGCCAGCTAGTTCCAGTGAAAGAAATGAACCAGTGCGACGTCTTGATCGGAGCGAAAACAGCGTTCCTTGCCCGTATCCACCACTCTATTAGGAGAAAACAGTAATTCTAATACAATGTACTGCCTAATCTAAGGTACTCTTATTGTGACGTAAAACAATAAGATAAGCTAGACGTCAATATTTTATAATATACATATATACAATACAATACGATACAGTACAGTACAGTACAGTACAAAAAAACTCTAGTAATAAAAATAGTTATATTGTACATAAAATTACGGATCTGGTAGTTGGTGCAACACTCAAATGTCAACCGATTCTTAACACCTGTATCGTCCGAGTCCAGAAATACGTTAATTATTCGAAATGTCGGAATTTTCAGAATGAAAATAATCGATGCGCGATTAAACCATAAAGTCTGTGTCATTTACGTTTTATAAACTGAATCAAAATAAGAAATATGGAAATTATTTAAAATGTTCTTTTGTTACATCTGTTTGTGGCATTTTGTTTATTATCATTCACATTAACTATGCTTATGCTGCGCTGACACAAAAAGACTGTTATACATGTAACCTACACATATTTCGTGAAATATTCATATGCCATTTAACTATCTATATAATGAATATTACTATCTGAAATGAATTCATCATTTTTTTTAATATATTTTTTTCACTGCTATAGATGAAAAGGAAACCCACTGGCAAATAATTAAACCTAAATTAGCGTTACTTTTTTTAATTACCTGGTCTGCGACCTTCATATAAAATTACGAAACATCATTTATTACGAGCGGAAAATGTAATTAAAGAAGAAAAAACACACAGATCCTACAAAAATATAACAAAAATAAACAAATATATAAAAGCTTACTATGAAATTTATAATAATAATCAAAGTTTTTGCGTTCCAATCTATCTCCGAGCAATCCATTACTCATCTTAATTTAAATACTGTTTTGTTGTATTCAAGTTGTACGATTTCAGCCCTAAAGTTTGACAGTTTTTGTGCTGGAATTTAAATCGAAATAAATAATCAAGCTATTTCGAATATTCTAGACAAAATTTAACTGGGTACTCATTCTGAAATATTATTCTTGATCAAATTTCTCTTTTCTGATCTGATTATTTTATAAGTTTTATAAGCTTATCAGTAGACGGAGCATACGACCCGTCTCTCTACGAATGGTTACCGTCACTCGTTAACATCAGTAATGCCAACGGCATAGCCAAGCCACTGCCAACCTGCCTGAAGATTTGTGGTGGCATTCACACTAGGATATCTTTATAGTTAATACTTAAGATCCATCACGAGGGAAAAAACCTTCATCTATTCCATTCAATCGAGGATCTGGTGATTTGGCAGTCAAACACTTACTGCTTCACTTCCTCACAATAAGAATACCCGAACTATGATTTCAACATTTGTCATCATTTATAACCGTTACATAAATTAGGAAAGGTAAAAAAAAAAAAAAAAAAACTACGGTAATTTTTTCCTCAGTTTGTCATTCAATTTCCTTTATTTCTGTGTTTATTGTTGTGTTATTTATATTAATTCTAGTAGTTATGGACAAGCTTTGATGTAATTAACCAATTTGGAATTGGTTTGGATTTGAAAACGGTTATTTTTAGGTTATTACAGGAAAAATATAAGAAACCAAAGAAAAACGATTTACATAATATTAATCAATATCTCGGAACTTTCAATGATTTCAATGACGATAATGTGCAAACTGTGTGTTTACAAATAAATAAGTTTTATGTGTCCTTGATTTTCATTTTCATTTTGAAAACAATGCATAAATGAATGAATTAATAAATTCCACATACCTCTGGTCTAAGTCTCAATGATATAAAAAGGGTGAATTCTCTGGGAAAAGTTTTTCCGTTATTGAAGAGCTCCGATGATGCAATCCAGATGTACGAGTTTGGCCTTAGGCTGAAAGCATGAGGTCTGTCCTGCACTGGGCCCCACCTGGCTTGGGCCGGGTGGAAGTTTCTTCTTGCACCTGGTGCTAAAGGGTTTATTGTACCTGTGGAAGAACAGTAGTTTTGACCACTGAAAATAATAAGATTTTCAAATTTTACCAGGGATGGACTGTATGTAATTTGAAATGCTATTATAATATATTATTTAGAAATTAGATCGATCAATAATTAATTGGATACCAGGGTCCAGAGCTCGGTTCTATTTTGAAAATAAGCAAAAAATCCGTTTCTATTGAATTCGAAAAGAAAACTTTTCTTTATTTTATAGTATTGTAACCTGGTCACACACCGTTGTTACTATATAGAAGTGTATAAAAAACACTTATCTACCGGCTTAGCGGTTAGCTCCAATTGTCGTACCGAAATGGTACCGACAAAAATCTTCCCTGAAGTACCAACAACAATTGTACAAACTTTCAAATAGATCGGATAAAAGAGGAACGCACAACCTCATGTAACATGAACAAAGTAATATGCAAACAGAAACGCATTTATTTGTGTACATTAGGTTCATGTAATTTTGTCAACAGAAAATATGTGATATAAACCAAGGGAATATGTCAATGTGATATAAATCATAGTACTATTGATCCACGTACTGATTGTGTATTTTTTATTTACCGAGAGTTTTGATAGTGACACATCATTAAAACACCTACCAATGGATGATAAATGAAGGTTTCGATAGATAACGTTTATTAATCTATCCATGACACAAGAAAATCTATTAAAATGTAATGTAAGATAAATAGAGCCTAGGAAAAATAAAGAAGATGAAAAAGTTTAATGAGAAAAAAGTATTAAAACAAAGAAAAGGTTTGCTAAAAAATTACGAGCATTATTATTATTATTATTATTATTTTTTGCCCATTTAGGCAGACGAGCATACGGCCCCTTGATGATGAGTGTTTACCGTCGCCCATGGACTTCAGCAATGCTAGGGGCAGAGCCAAACCGCTGCCTACCATACGCTGCATTAAAATTGGTTATTGCTTTCGAAGAGATTCTTTAAAAACGGCCATTTTAATGGCCGATTAAATTTTTAAACACACTACTCAACACTTCCTCGCAAACGTGCGAACGTTCATGCCGTCCATTAACAATCGAGTCATATTTTACGTCGCCAGTTACATTGCTCTCATAAATCTTGATATCCCAGCGGGGAGCGAAACACAATAACAACGTGCTTTTATACCTGTCCGGAGTATGTGTGATGTGTAATTACAGCGGAAACTGTCATGACGATTGTTTGGAGAAACAATAGTTATTAGATTGGATCTTGTGAATTGAGGCGTATAAAAACCTTACTCTGAAATCTTACGACCAAACTAATATTGATAAAAGTTCTTTCAACCAAAAAATCAAACTTCACGCTAACCTGCTATAGAATAAATTAGTACTAGCTGATAAATTATTACTTTTAAATTTGGAAAAACCTTTCAAATTACGAAGTATTTCTTTCTGAAAACATAATAATGTTTATCCGCATTTAAGTAGATAAAGTTTATCCACACTATACAAGACCAAGTAACAATTGGTATTTATTAGTCTTTTGAAGTGAAACTTCTTTATCGGCGTTGGAAAAAAATTTACCGTCACATTTTTCGGTTACGCGTCACATTTTTCCGTTACGCGCCATCTTTTTTGTATTCATGTCTATGATAATAAAATCCTTTTGTTTAAACTTTATCTAATTTAACTTTTTTGTATTCATGTCTATGATAATAAAATCCTTTTGTTTAAACTTTATCTAATTTAACTTTATTTAACCAATTTCTAGAAAGTTGCATGTAGATCATTTTTCGAAAAATAAGGCCATAAACAAGTTTCACTTCTTACGTGTGTACACTAGTACACGCACACATTTTTTTTTCATTAGTTTAAGGTCTTTTAAGCTAACTATTGACGTTGTTGTTATAGTTGTTGTTGATGCTGAAAGCCCTACTCTTGACGAATAGCATGAAAATGCTCTGATTTCTGATACAGGATTCGCGAATATGCGGATCCAATAATTCGTACTGAGATTCACGGTAGGCAGCGGTTTCGCTTTATCTCATTTGTACTAGGCTGGCAGTGTTGTATTTGTCTAAAACGGCACCACGCCATTTCGTCCTGTGGGTGTCGTATAAGGGGACTAAGGAATTTGGGATTCGACCTCTATCCAGGGTTTACCCTCCGCGATTCATTCTCCTGCCCTTCTCCTAGTCACCTAGGGTCGGCGCAACATGTTTTTTCTCCTTCCATACTTCTCTATCACATATTATTTCTTCGCTCACTCTCCTCTTACACAAATCGTATTTCATGCATTCCATCCATTTTTTCTTAGGTCTACCTCTTTCTCTAAAGCCTTCCACTTTCATAGTTAAAACTCTCTTAACAACCTCACTGTCATTTTGTCTCATTGCATGTCCATACCATCCCAAACGCGCACTTCTCCACTTCTCTGTCACAGGTGCCACTTTTAGACTTCCTAACATATTCATTCCGTATTCTATCCATTCTCGTTACTCCACACATCCATCGCAATATTCGCGTCTCTGCTGCATGCAATTTGTTGGATAAGCATTACAACGCTAGCTAGCCTTACTCGTAGTAATATGTTGTAATAAATTAGTAGTAATATTAGCTAGTGATCTGGCTGTGTCACTGGAGTTGTTGATGTCCACGGACGACGGTGACTACTCACCCTGAGTTCGGCCAAATTCTCGTCTGCCTACATAAACAATAAGAAAATGTGTACTGTAGTGCAATAGTGTACAGGATTGATAAGAACTGATATTTCACGTTATATGCTATGAATAGGATATCATTAACTACTTAATTATTATGTTTTTGGAGACTGAGAAGTGCTGGTCGTACCTTCATATTAGCTGGTATCTTTGTTGATCACTGAGACGTTTATTTTATAGATTTCATTGATGTTTTTATGTTTATTTAAACCAGTAAAGATCGGAATTTAAAAAATATATATATCAACATTTCATAAAAACTTTTATGCTTTGAAGCCATCAACTTTGTTGTATTTTCGCTAAAAAAAGCTTTCACTTCAATGTGATTTTCTTTCAATTTATCAACACGTCAACTGGAACGTGCATGTGACGGAAGTAGTTTGGGAATTTGAAGCACCCATCGGATGTAGGGTAGATTGCTAATGAGATGCTCCTTGAATATAAAATACGTATTTTTAATTTTTATGCTTAAATACGACTTTGTCATAAAAAATATGGACTTTCTTTATATGCTTAGATGGGTGGACGAGCTTTGAGCCCACCTGGTGTTAAGTGGTCACTGGAGCCCATAGACATCTACGACATAAATGCGCCACCCACCTTGAGGTATAAGTTCTAAGTTCTCAGTATAGTTACAACGGCTGCCCCACCCTTTAAACCGAAACGCATTACTGCTTCACGGTAGAAATAGGCGGGGTGGTGGTACCTACCCGCGTGGACTCACAAAAGGTCCTACTACCAGTAGACTTCGTAAGAAGTTCTTATAACGAAAAAGTCCTGTACACCATTGACCTTGTCACTTTATAATACAATAATTCGAGCAATTAAGGAATATCCTCAAAATATAAACAGTCGATTTATGATAATAGTTTTTAAATTCACCATAATACTGTTCTTATTTCCTTAAAGTTTCCACTAAAGCCCGGCTTAAGCTATTTACTCAGAAACTAACTTAATTCCCCGTGATTGGAGTTTCGATCTGATGAAACGAACTTTTAAGCTCTCCGATTAGCAACCTTCGGTCAATTTTCCAGATCTAAAGCGCGAACTGAATATTCCAGTGCAATTCAGTTGCAAATCGATAAGTATCCTTTTTATTTTATTTTCTGAATGCACTAGAATTTGAATTTCATAGTTGATCTGAGATTTTAACGCGACAGTTTCTTTTCAAATAACTTGTTACTCCGATAATTTGATTCTTCGTTGACAGAAATATTATTATGTTTTAAAAATTATTTCATTTTAGTTAACTTATCGGAAGCGATCACAAGCTAAGTGCAAATACCCACATTTGAGACTTAGAGATTGACATGTTTCTAAACGATTTATAATAATAACGCAAATTGTATTATGAATTTTTCGGATTTGATTTTTATTACACGATACTAATCTTTTCCTTCGGAAGTCCTTCGTGTATATCTCAATAGTAAAAAAAATGGTATCTGCCTGCCGGATTTGAACACTGGAATAGTCGCATCACTCGGTATACCAAACAATTTATCCTCTAACCTACAATGACTTTGACTTTTTATTCAAATGTAATTTTTGGGTGACCAATATCACGGCTCACCTGGTATTAACTGGTTATCGGAACAAATAGACATCGTGTTTATAACACGTCGAATCCTCATTAGTTTCATAATAATATAACAATTGTCTCATCATTCGAGATAAAAACGGTAGGATCAATAATCCGCGTGGCCTTAGAATACGTCCGAAATATGAACAGTCGAATTAATTATTAAATTTTAAGATTCGAATTCCTTGAACGACAAATTAACTGAGATAAAAATGTGAAACATCCAAACAACATTACACAATTGAACTCACCTTCGCAATCAAAGGAATTACACGATCTCGCTTGTTCGCCATACCCCTCGCAGGTGGCCCTCGAGCAGTATCTTCTTCGGGTTTGCCTCCCACCCCCACAAGTTCTGCTGCAGGGCCCCCACTCGCCCCAGCCGCCCCACCCTGCAATATTGATAAATGAACTCAACCGCTTCATTAGTATGTCCGAGGGTTGTGGTTTCATAAAAAAAATTATACCATGCTGCAATTGTCATTAAAATTTAAGGTCCTGAATTTTTTATGACCTTTAAATGATTCGGATTAAATGTCATAATTCAACTTCTTACCAAACTTTTTATTTAATGGTCATTTGGATATAATTAAATTTCCTGGTATTTATATACTATTTAATTTCATCCTTGCCACATAAAGATATGTTTCTTATTACTATCGGGAACTGATCCGATAACAGAAATAAATAAATCTTATAAACATTATTATTTAATTCTAGATTTACAAGATATCAAGAAGTTCAATGTACTATAACAAACTATCAATAACAATATTATCTTATAAAGTGATTAAATATATTAATGAATAATTAACACAGTTTTATAGTATGCTGTTTTATAATTTCAACGTAAAACTGAAAATCTCTTTGTATATTACACACATCAAGATATGATGTTCCGAGCCCATTTCGCAACGAATTAAATTGCACTATCATTTAGTTTTATGGACACCCTACAAAACTCCGACGGACATTATTGCAATAGTTTCACGGTCTACTGTATTGTTTCCGGGAAACTTTTCGCAAAACAGATGCTATAAAATTTTAATGTTTGTTCCTGAATTGGCTTTGTTTTAAATCATATTGTCAGTTAGTTGATTTTGTTTCAGACTATGTGAAAATTATATGAGTTTCAGACTGATAGATTAAATATTGAATAAGACTGTTTTCTATAACCAATATTTATGATTGTTTTGTTTTAATAAATATGCTTAACGCAATCAACAATTTAGATACAATCTTAAATAATTCAGAGCAAAAAAACGATCTGATTATAAAGAATCTGATGAAAGTCGTAACAATAATGTATAGTTATATCTAAAACGATTAACTTAACATTGAAGTGGCAAAAAACCTCAACTATAAGTTTAAGTAGACACGGCTTAGTATCCACTATATATCTATCTAAAATATTGACAGAACCAGAGAAGCTTCAAAGAAGTTGTAGTGACTGTAAGGATTAAGCTTCCGTTGAATTCGTATCGTTTTAGGGGTAGTACAGGATTTATACTGTTACAAATGAGACTTCAGCCTCAAGCCTCAAGGTGGCTCGTGGGTTCCACGTTCCATGTCAATCAACTCCGGTAACCATTTAACACTATGAAATAAAAAAGTAAATCTCTTTGAGAAAAATAAAACTTTTGTTTTTTTCAGTTAAGCTCTCAAAAGCTTTCAAAGTAAATTGATATTGAAAAGCTAATTCTTAAAGGATTACTATTCTCTGTCTCTTAAAATAAATTATTAAACTACTAGGTAAAGAAATGGCTTAATGAAAGCTGAGGCTTAAATTCATCTGTTCTCTAAAAAAGGAATATAATTACTCGTAAAAAATAAAAAAGCCGTCAGGATTATATTTGTTAAATAAATTGAAGATTCATTAATATATATATATATATTACCTGGTGTTAAGTGGTTATTGGAGCCTATAGACATCTACAACGTAAATGTGCAACCCACCTTGAGATATAAGTTCTAAGGTCTCAAGTACAGTTACAGCGGCTGTCCAACCCTTCAAACCGAAACGCATTACTGCTTCACGCCAGAAATAGGCAGGGCGGTGGTACCTACCCATGCGGACTCACAAGAGGTCCTACCGCCAGTAAAAAATATATTTTCATTTATTAGTTACATTTATTAGTATATTAAATGGCGGCACATCGTGAGACGCATCAAGTCTGCCCCTTCCAACACTACATGCCGGTCACGACACTGTCACGAGTGACACGATTGAGAAGAAGAAGAATTATATATAATTATATTATAAGTAAATATATCTTTAAAGCTTATTGAACCAGACTTACCTACAGCATTCCATATAGCGATATCCACACCTAGAGTCCAAGGTACCGCTGCCGAAGTCGCCTCCAACCATGGACCATCAGGAGGGGTGGTTTCTAAATCTACTGCCGGTGCACTGATCCTTGCGAAGACCACCAGCTCACTTTGGGAAGGTTCCATGCTCCAATTAAAGCAACCACTAAGTTGTGGACTTATTTTAAAGTTCACCTGTCTGTAAACAATTTTACATTATGTTAATTATAAAAGTAATTTAATTAATTTATTTATTCGGACTCATATTATATTTAGCCTAACCAGTGGTCTCTCAACCTAGGACTTCATTAAGCCAGAAATTTGAGACCACGTACAAATTTCGAATTAAAATTTTCAGAGTAAACATGTCATTGAACCTTTACCCGATCCGGTGGACCGAATGGTAAACAGTCGACGTCGCCCTAAACACGTCATTACGGATCCTCCCGATCCATTAACGGTGCTTTTAGGTACCTCAAACACCGGTGACCGTCCTCGCCGAACCCGACGCTTGCGACGAAGGGCTCGACGAGTAAATTAACCCATAGACACAGCTCACTGAGTTTCTCGCCGGATCTTCTCAGTGGGTCGCGTTTCCTATCCGTATAGAGCCAATGTTAGCAACACTCCTGGTTTGAGCCCCGTGAGCTCACCTACTAACTCGGTGAATCTAGAATAACTCCTTGACGTTACTAGAATAGGTAGGAAAAATAATAATTGAGACAATAAAATATATCTTCAAATTTTATTGTTACTCTACATTATTTTGATAATGTAAGTCATAGAGCATTTACATTCATTTGCAGCGGTTTTTTTTTTATATTCCAACGAAACAATTATTAAAATACTATTTATCATCTCAACTATCAAAGTTAAAATACACCAGGGCAGTCAAAAGCCACAGGCGATAAGCATTGACGTCTTCGCGTCGATTCCGATCACGCAGCACTTTTGCTAAGAAAATTTAATTATACGGATCGCGACCTCCCCGAAACTCGGCTCCTTTAATTGAGTTCCGTACAAATCTTTAACTTGCCTCCACTGAATAATGTGGGACAAGGTAGAAGAGGTGTGGTTAATGGTGATTGTAATTATATATTTAGCAGGGGAATTGGCCCGAGGCACCGGAAATTGTTTTACAGGGACAGAAATTTTAAGGAATAAGTAAATTCATTTGTCGAGTGTAATTCTGGTTAAATCAACAAAGAATACTAACTAGTAAAGTTTATAAGTGAGGATTTGTATTTGAATAATATTTTCTTAAGGTAATTTATGAAATACGTTTTCCTTTTCTATGAAGATTTTTTAGAAATAGATAGAATATTATCGAATTTCATGAATGTCGATTCAAAACAGTGATAGCCTTTTGATCGATGGTGAATTAATTTAAACATTAAATTTGTTTTATTTTATTTTTGTGCTTTAATACCTTAAATTTTAAGGTTCCGAGCCAATTTCAGTGTATAAAGATACTCTTACACAAATTACTCTAATATACGCATTGACCTTTATCAAATACTAGCGACCCGCCCTCGCTTCGCTTCGGAAACATTAAAACACACATGAAACAAAAAAAAAAAAAAAAAAAAAAAAATTAAAAAAAGTAGCCTATGTTCATCAGGGACAATGTCGGCTTCTAATGGAAAAAGAATTTTTCAAATCGGTCCAGTAGTTTCGGAGCCTATTCGAAACAAACAAACAAACAAATCTTTCCTCTTTATAATATTAGTATAGAAAACATCATTTACACCTTATTTTCCGACGAACTATGCTGACTAATTACGCGGAAGGAAAGAAAGACGAAATACCGTGTGTTTGATTGGTTAGGTTTAGGCTAATTTTAGAACTCCATTCTCAGAATCTAACTATATTTCTAAAGATCGATCTTGCTATCCTTCGGTGTTGAAGAGCATGATAAGCAAGGACCACATCTAATGATCTATTACCTTTTTCACAGTCAAAGTCAACTTTATGCGGGTCAAATAATGGCATGTAGTTCATTTTGGTATTTTGTTTCCTCAAAATACCCTTTCGTCCTCTTAAAACGATTTTTTTTGTACGTAATTTTACAAACATATTGTTTCTTTACTTAGCATAATGTTTAACAAAAATATGCCTCTTTTATCACCGGTAAATACGAAGTCAATTTCGTAAAGCATCACGTTAAGCATTTGTTTTTCAATATAATAGGGTCGTCTGTCAATAGAATAAATACCGTATTTGTGTATGTACCAGACATTCCCAGAATCACAGTGCGTGTATATTCCGCACTATTTATGTTATTACTCCAAAAATCTTAAGAGAAGAAAGAAAAAAGTAAGAAAATTATAAGTACTGCAAAAAAAAAAATATTATGCAGATTAACTAATTTTTTTTTTATTGCCCTTTTAGGCAGACAAGCATACGGCCCACCTGATGGTGAGTGGTTACCGTCGCCCATGGACTTCAGCAATGCCAGGGGCAGAGCCAAGCCGCTGCCTACCGCTTAATATACTCCACAAGCCTCGTTTGAAGAAGGACATGTCATAGCGCTCGGGAAACACCGTGGAGGGGAGCTCATTCCATAGCCGGATGGTACGTGGCAAAAAAGATCTCTGGAAACGCACTGTGGATAAGCAATAAAATTATGTATCATTTAACTTCAAATATGAATCCGTGTAATAAAAATTTAAAAAGCATCGTATTAATGACTTGCTTTTCGGCTTCGAAATTCACTGTGACAAATTCTCTACTTAGATTCAATTTTCGAAGGACCCTTTTTTATTTTTCTCTTCTTTATTAATTTCGCTCGTAATTCTTTTAAATGAAACAACATAAACCCCTTTAAGGGCCAAAGCACGCTCGACCTACTTTTCTAATAAGCTTTTTAGAGTATTTATATAATATCAGGTATAGGCAGTGCGCTGACAACTCCTTTTACACCTTGAGATATGAAGTCAATCTATTAGAATGCTTTCTCTTTCAAGACACGATTACGTTTTCGCGATATTTTTTTTATTGCTTAGATGGGTGGACGAGCTCACAGCCCACCTGGTGTTAAGTGGCTACTGGAGCCCATAGACATCTACAACGTAAATGCGCCACCCACCTTGAGAGATAAGTTCTAAGGTCTCGAGTATAGTTACAACGGCTGCCCCACCTTGCAAACCGAAATGCATTATTGCTTCACGGCAGAAATAGGCAGCGTGGTGGTACCTACCCGTGCGGACTCACAAGAGGTCCTACCACCAGTAATTACGCAAATTATAATTTTGTGGGTTTGATTTTTATTACACGATGTTATTCCTTCACCGTGGATGTCAATCGTGAACGTTTTTGAGTACGTATTTCATTAGAAAAATTAGTGCCCGCCTGGGATTCTTTCTTATCTTTTAGGCCACAACGACTTGCTATGATGAAGATGATTAAATGAAAATTCCTGTAATATCCCCCTTCTGTTAGTCTCGTGATCACGAAAACTGTGAAGTATTTAAAATGTCCGAAATAATAAAATGTCAATTAAAAACGTAAGATTAAGCCATAGAAGCAGGCAGCAAAAAAGTATTATACTATAAATCAGCACTAAATTTTCCAAGCAGATTGATTCGTTTTCCCGATTAAACATTATCCTTTTCAATATGAAGAAACACGCAACAAAGGCACAATGAAAACCGAAGTACCCAGAAACAACAAGTCGATTCGTGCTGCTATTGACCGAAAATAGTTTTAAAGGCCCCAAACTTTACTAATCCGAAATCGCTCATCACTTGACCTGCGTCAAAGAACTTGTGCGTGCTCTGAACACTCAAAGCAAACTCCAGCACTTTCATTACCACAGCGGCTTTCACTTAGTTTGTTTTGTGAGCCATTTTAGTCTGATACACCTTTATATTGACATTGAAAGGAAATGTGTATCGATCTTCGATGGTAAGTGGTTGAGCAGTGGCCTCGTCCGGAAGAAGTTCTTCGGTAACGTATCGTTTTCTTTAATATGTAGCTATTCTGTGGTGAATAGTTGTGATATTGAGACCAACACTAACAGTGCGTCAAGGATATATAATAATTATAGTTGTTAAGTGATGAAACTTATAACTGGTGACACTGATAAGTATGTTTAAAAAAACTACGAACGGATAAACAATTTATTTGTTGACCTTTTTTACCGACTTCAAAAAGGCGGGTGTTTTCAATTCGACTCTTTTTTTACGTGTGCTACTACGAAACGTTTTTTCTAAGTGAATCGATTTTGATGATTCTTTTTTTATCTGAAAGCTTTTTTTTTTAATGTAGCCCCATTTAAATATTAATATGTGGTATGTATTCATGTATGTATATACTAGTAGTTACGTATTTATTTATGAATGCTTACACCTAATATATTATATACATTGTATTCATTTTCCGATTTTCGTACACTTATTCCCACTCTCATTTATGGCATATTAGTACCAGTTAAGTAGTTTTATTTTGGTACGTTGCACGTAACCTTTTGTAATGAAATATTTAAATCACTTTTATTGAAAACTACGTACATACAACAAATGATAAAGATCTAATGAAAACAGAGTAGAGAATCCTGCACCAAATTATAGAAAACGAATGAAACCAATCAAAATAATATCCTATTGCTTGTTATTTCAAAAATAAATTAACATAACATTATATGCAAGGGGTACTAGGAACGGTGTCACTATTTTTTGGGTGAGTAAAGAAAAATCAGGATCAAAAATTGATCATGCCACAATATAGGACAATTAATGATTAAGCCACTTATTAGGATTAGGTGATTATCATTCTCAAGCTGAACATTCTTAATATTACCAAACTTTTAGTTTATTACCAAAGTAATTACCAAAATTACCAAACTATTAGTGAATTATATGATTCCAAAATTGTCTACCAATTGCGGATGTCATTGATGAAGTCATTCGACCGGGCACAAGTCACAGATACCTACCATTGGAATTCTATTGACTATTTTATCATGTATTTTAATGGCTATATAAATATATTTAGGCCGTAAGTTCCTTTGCCAACCATAAGTTACTGAAGTATGAACTTATTAAGAAATAGCTTGGTAAATGTACTAACAACTCCCATAATGTCAGGTACATTACGCGATTGCGAAAGCCGTACACACCAGAATGCGACTGTATACCTTGAAATATTGGGTCGAAGTTTGAATTCTTTTGGACAAAGACTTTTCAAACCAGAACTAAAAAATGCTTTGAGGCTGTGATCGGTGGTGCCTACTCGAATGGGCTCATTAAACATTCTATCTCTAACAAATAACATTTGGTTACAGTATGCTGGTATGATACACAGTCTTCAGTCGATCTTTCAAACCCTCTTTAAGACACTCACGGAGAGAAATGGGTTGGCAATATTTTGTGCCAGTGTTAAAATTTTGAGAATATAACTTACCTATCCGTGGTATTGTATGGTGATCCCATATATTGGCTCACGGACGCTAATTCCAAACCACCCCTGTATATGGACACCAGCGCCAAATCTAATGTCTTCCGCTAAAACAAACATAAAAATATACGTAGATTAAAAATCAAAGAACACTTTTAGCAATAGCAAACCGAACTAACAATTAGTTTCATCTTTTTTCTATCCTGTTGATATTGGTCAGGTTATTAGAGACAGAGTTGAATTGTTGCATTATTGTCTGTCCTTGATACGTGTGCAAAATATCTAGTTCATCTAACGTCTTGAAGACGATGAAAATTACATCTTTATTGGTGGTAGGTAGTCTTGTGAGCACGCACGGGTGAATACCATCACACTGCCTCCTACCGTGCAGCAAGAACTTATTTCGGCCGAAGGTTGGGGCAGCCGTGGCATTGTAAACTTTTTTTTTATTGCCCTTGTAGACAGACGAGCATACGGCCCACCTGATGGTGAGTGGTCACCGTCGCCCATGGACTTCAGCAATGCCAGGGGCAGAGCCAAGCCGCTGCCTACCTACCTGCCTACTTAGAACTTAATTTTTTGATGTCTATGGTCTTCAGCAACCACTTAATACTCAAGAGGGCTGTGAGTTCGTTCGTATAAATAGTAAAGAAAAAAAAATTGAAATATTTTCTTTTAAGTAATATTTTTAGGTCAATATAGTGCCATTAGCTATCTTTGATCCTAAAAAAGTATTATGTTCCCAAGAGACGTGGCCAGAGCCGCGGTTAATAGCTCTCTATATTCAGCTAGCTATATTCCTATTAATTGTCTGAGAATGTTTATCAACAACTCTTCCTCTTTATGCAGTTCAATACTATGTAAGCATACTCTTACTTCTTACATAATATTATCATTCGTGAACACCTGTCACAAAACTTCGAATACATTTCTAAATACTTTAATCTAAAAACATTGCCTTGTAATGTGACATTTCATAACACATGAAAAAACAACAGAACGTGTTATTAGAAAACCAATTCAGACGATTATTCGCGTTGGAATAATACGTAGTTACCGTAAAATAATATGAGCCTACATAAGGTCGTGTAGTTATCACCCTTTCCGATAATGATGGCCTGATATTAGCCTTACGACTTTCGTATTAAAGTCGTGAACTGGAAATTGCCCGCGATAATATCCTCGCTATATTCGTTTTGGATTACCTGGAAGTAACGCGCGAGGTTTGTGTTTCAAATGAAATGTTTTTCGCAATTTTAGTATGTATATTTTACTTTTTCTAAATTAGTTGATTTTTATAGAACATCAATGCAAAAAAAAGCTTTGCATTACTGAGAGGTATATTTCTTGATATATTGATTTAATGTTTTCTTCGAAGAATTTTTTATGCCAGTCAATAAAGCTCAAACAAACAAACAGATACAATAAAAATACAAATGGCGAGTTTTAAGTTTGTATTTTCCTCTGGGACTTCTAATGTGCATGAGCAACTTTTAGTCATTATTTTATTGTGTTATATAACTATATCTATACTAATATATAAATCTACAGTGTTTTTAACGGATGTTCCGTTATAACTACTAAACCATGCATCCGATTTACTTGAAACTTGGTATCCATGTAGAAAATATATGTACTGAATGGATAGGCTAATATTTATAAGAGTGTTGGACTGCCTAATAATAATGACAATAAATAATAATGTTAATTTTAAATGCCCAGCGAAGTGGGCGAGTACGGCTAGTACTATATATGGACTCTCATACTCACCTACGCAGTAAAAAACATCTACAGCTCATTTTCGGTGCGATTTTTTTTTATATTCATGGTGCCTTGTATTTTTAGATTAAATATTTAAAATAGATTTCACCAATGGTTAGCTTTAAAATTCGTCAATAGTTCGAAAACTAAAAAAAAAAATATCAGTTGATAAGAGGTAGATAAAATTGTACTCGACTTGTTTTTTTGAATGGAAGCATCACTGCTGATTCGGAGACTTTGCTTAGTTAGAGCGGATAGGCGAACTTAACGGCTTAGGCAGGATGGTACTCAATTGTTCGTTTTTGCCTCTTAATAAATATAACATGAATGAGGGTAATACTAAAATATACTCTATTAATAATTAAAACTAATTACAATTTGAAAGTTTCGTGTAATTCGTATTTTAAAAAAAACAGAGACATAAAAACCGTGTTTATTTTTACTACGTAAAGCTCAGAGACAATCACCAACCTACAGTTTGAATTTCACTAATCTAGAATAATCTAGAATAGTTACGTTGAATGTTATTTACGAAGTGGGTGTCTGAGTGATTGAGTTAATAAATAGATCTTGTACGTTAATTCGAATTCGAAGTCAGCATGTTGTCTATTATCTATGGTCTTGTGAGCTATTTGAAAAGATCTCTTGTACTAAAATAATTTGCCAGTTTAAATTAGTTTCTACATTGATTTACACAAACGATCTTTCATAATACATCGCCTGATCTGCTTTTAGCTACAAGATGTGGGTCCCGGATATGTTATGCCGGAAACAACAATTAACAAGGAATTACCAATAGTTATACATCAATAACAATACTATGTACAATTTACAATTTTAGAGCTGTGTTATTTTATCTGATAAAGAATTTTATGCCAATACTATGTAATTAATCAGTAATCTAGTTACCTATTGTATCCTAATATACAACAATATTTGACGTAAAACCTTGGCACGTTACAGATTTGCCCCGCCATTTATCTTTCAAAAGATCCCGCATATAATGCAAGAATCTGGACTCTCCGCGTTATTGAAAAAGTGATTTGTAGAATCTCATGTATACAACGGACCATGATATTTTGATGAAAGTATTGTGTGAACTCAAAGATAGATCGTCCTAAATTAGGAATACAAAGTTCGGAATTTGAGAAACGCTGACTGCGCGTTCTATGCAACTACAGTGCACGTTGGCAATGAGTTATTATTAAAGTTCACGTTTATATACTAAGAGTTGTTAATGAATAATTTATTTTTAAGCTATTACATAGCTTTTATCGCAAGCTTTGAGCGCGACGACCGAATCAAGAAATTCCGTAACGGAAAAAACCTAACACTCCACACTCCGCCTACCATGTTGTAGCTCGCGTTCAACACATTCACACGTTGCGCTTGTGTAGTGTTTGTGAATAAGCGCGCGCACTGCATGCGCATGATGAAAAGTCTGCCCATCTCTCTCTCGCGCGAGCTTATGAGTGTGAAAAGGACAGTTAAGATTTTGCTTTTGTTAATATTTATAAATATAGCGTGGTCATATTTTATTATTGTTTTAATATTAAATTATTATTGTCTAATTATAATTGCATAAGTTGATAAAAAAATGCCATACAATAGCTTTACCGCGGCAGTCCCCGAGTGCCACACGTGTTTTTTTTAACTTAAGATGTTTGTTACTAACTTTTTACATCATTGAATTAAATTGATATTTAATTTCGGCATTACCAAGAGAAAATGAATCAAACACATTACCAATTTGATATCACCATTGGTCTTCTTGTTTTTCGTGATCTTAATTCTGCATTAAGAATCCGAGTTCGATTCCCTAGCTAGCTTCTTATTTTTATCAAAATTCTTAGTATTTGGGTCATGGTGTTTTTGTTCTAGTCGATTATATGAGAGTCCAGCATTTCAAAAAACAAAACACATCCAATGTTGTGTAAGTAACTTCAAGTCTAGAACATTCTAACGAATCGAAATAAAGGTCGCGGCTGTCTAACCAATCGGATATCTCACTACAGAGTTTGACGGCAAGTTGAAATACAGCTTAAGGTTTTAATTATAAAACGCTTTAATGTTGATACTTATTTCACTTTACATCGGAAACACGTAATAACGAAACGCAAAATACTAATTGACGAAAATAATTCATTCATGAGGTGTGGTAATAAAAGTACTTTGATATTGAATAAACAAGTTTTTAATTGCCTTTAAGCTAGAAATAAATAAAATTTTATAATTAATAATTAATTGTGCAATTTAGTGTCACATGGCTTGGTTACACAGAAAACCTAAAATTTCCGAATGGCTCAATTCTAATTCATATAAGCAGCCAAATAATATTTTAACCTATAATCGTTACAATTTTGTATTTGTTCGTTACGAGGATGTGGTATTACTTTGGAAAGTTTAACGACGAATGGAAGATCTTCCACCGAGCGGGTGATATTTGCTCGGTAGACCGACGGTCCGAATGTTGTTGTTCGGAACTTGTATATTACCTATATGCGAGCTTATCTTGAAAATGTCGTAAGCGAGATTCAGGCATCTGTCAAATATCTTGCGTTGTATGATGGCTACCCGCCACATTACTATAAAGTTCATTACTGAAATATGAGTACTAATAAAACAGAGGCTTTTAAAGTCAAATGCCTGTTAGTCCGCATGAGTAGTTTCCACCGCCCTGTTTATTTCTGCCGTGACGCAATAATGGTGTTCGTTTTGAAGGATGGGACAGCCGTTGGACTATAAAACTGAAATCCAGAACTGTCCTCAAAGCGGGTGGTGGCATTTATTTTTTTGATATCTATGGGCTCCGGTAATGACTTAATAACTTAATTAAAAAATAAAAAGTCTAAAAAGAGTAGTATAACGTAGCAATTAAAAATAAGCCTGCGTGCTAAATGTTATTTGTTTTCAATAAATTATTGGAAAATGTCAAAGACTCTCCTTGAAAAGCGACTGGCTATCGTGTCTACTTTGATATTTATGGTTAGCAGCCATCCATTACTCCTAAGTGAGCCATTAACTGCCAATCTACGTAGTAAACAGGTACACGGGAGAATTGGGTAAGCATACTAATGACCTAGCTACTTGATGTATAAGTCATAGGCCTTTACCTCAGTAAATATAGCATCTTTGTAAAGATAGTTTTTTGAGGTTTTCGAAGCTGTGAAGTCGTAATTATATTTGATAAAAACTGATTGATATTCCACATTAATATCTATATTCATCTAATTTTAGGAGCCAGTAAAAAAGTAGGATCCTATAAAATCCAATGAATTAGACTACACTAAATTTTGATATTTCGTTTGTACCTCATATTATAGTACCTAGTCTTCTTTCTTTTTTT